TACTGCACGATTAAAGCCTCTAAAATAGTATATAGAGTATAATATAGTATAGATTGCGGATATAAAAACCTTTTGACTTGCCCAACTTCCTGATGAGATGCATTAAATCACACATAAATAAGAGAAAGTATCTCCATTATATATTAAATCTCACTCGATTACACAATTCACGCTCTTTGAATTTATTTGGTAAGGGTATTTTGTATAAATTATGAGAGGCAATGAGCTCTACGGTTTTATTTTTAAAAAGTAATAATCATTGCCGTTCCACCTTCAGCTATAGGGCAACAAGCATTCCGTTGAGCAGGAGTATCTGCTGCGAGCTGGCCTTAAACTTTTGCCACTTGTTTGATAAAGTATGTAGTACCTACATAACTGGCCAGCGGCCGAAAGACTTCGGAAAGCGCTTTACGAATTTTATGCTAATAAAATTTATTGCGCACAAAACTTTTACTTACATATACTTATGCGGCGTACTTATGCTGGATGCTGCAATTTTTTATTGCCTTCTTGCTGCTCGGCTCGGCTCCGAGCACAATAAAAGGCAAACGGTAAACAATTTCATATTTTGCTTCCGTTGCTGCTGCCCCCATAAGTAGGCTATAGTATTTGCAAATTTGCCCATCAGCATTGAGGCGGACGCAATTTTAGGCCGGAAGCATGCCACGTATGTCTGTGAGTGTGTGTGTGTAAGCGTTAATGCAATTAAAGTCGTTTCGGTAAGCGTAGTTGGGTCGCATAAAATCTAAAGCAATCTTATTAACATGCATAAATGCAGCACATTTGTGTGTGTGTGAGTGTGTGTGTGTGTGTGTCTAATTTTTGTATTGCTGACACTTTTACGCAATAGCTAGCCACGCGTTTTGGCTAAAAGCCTTTCAATGCTCTTAACTATTTCTGATGGCGTTACGCACTATAAACCTGATACACATTGAATGGAAGCTTTAACCAAGTGGTTCTCCCTCTCGCTCTCTCTCTCTCTCTCTCTCTCTCTCTCCCTGCGTATGTGTGTGTGTGTGTGTGCGAAATGAATATTTCGAAACGTTTTCAGGCACCCAATTTGGCAGTGCACCTTAAAGTTAATGAGACAAAGCCGCCCCACCCTGGAGCCATCGTCTGTGGTGTCTGTCTTTGGTGGCGCAGCTCTTCGGGAAATTTAATCAAATTAATATTAATCTGCAGTGGCTGCGCGTTTGGCGGTTGCCTCGGGCGACAGCGCTAATTAATTATGCAGTCAGCCAATGACAGGGGCGGTGGTAAAACTTCAACAGGGTATAAAATGCAAAGGGGCCGACGCTCGATGGCCGCTTAGGTCAGCCAGTTCGATTGGGCCATTAAACGGTTGCAGCAATTATGTGAAATCAACACTCGGCATGCAATTGACTTGGGAATTGCAATCAGCACCTTATCAATGTAGATGCACACAAACCCATGCAAATATATGCGTGTGTGCGAGTGGGGAAAATATAATTAATTGTATGCGCGAGTATGCGTGTGTTTGTGTGTGTGAGAGAGAAAGAGAGAGAGAGCTCGCTCGGATAATTAATCTTTAAGCTGCACTCTGCGATTCTCTGCGTTGCATTTTGGCCGCTGAGCTGTTTCAATTAAGTTGAATCATCTTAGCGGCTGACAGCAGCCGAGCTGCAAGCTGCAAGATGGAATGGCATCGAATTAATATTTCGGCAACAGCTGACAGAAATGGTTCAGCTAATGAGCTTTATAATGGCAGCGGTTGTCCCAATTACAGCCCAAGTTGCTTAATCAGGCTCCGATATAGATGTGAGGCTGGCTGTCAGATGTGCATGAACTAATAATAATATGCAATAAGCTGCTGCGGCTCGCAGGCCACAAACTTTGCATCGAATTAACATCGGAGCTCGAATTGCAGTCAAATTAGCAAATAATTGAAACATTTATGGGGCATATCAAACGATCTAATGCTTGCCAAGAGAGAGAGAGAGGGAGAGAGGGAGGGAAAGAGATGTGTGGAGTGTGGGAGAGTGTCAGAGACAGGCAGCTTACCAAGTTCTGCTGGAGTCAACAAAGTGAAGAGCCATGTGCCTGTCAGGTTGCTCTTAAGCACCTATGCCTCCCCGCCCCTACCCCCGTCCCCAGCTGGCGCACTGTCATCACGCTGCTTATGAGTCAACGTCTGACAAGTTGACGGGCCAAACTGCCTGAGTGGCATGGGCGGGGCGGGGGCGAGCAAACAAACAAACAAACGCAACACACCAAGAATTTACCTTGGCTCCATGCGCATGCAGTGCCCCATAGCCCGTGCTTTGGCAGTGCGGCGATGCGGGTGGCTTGTGGCCTGTAAATGGAACAACTGGATAGCTGTGGCCACAACATGTTGCAGCCAGTAGACCAGCAGCAACAGCAGCAACAACAACTGCAACAAGTACGAGTGCCTACTTCAAACAACTGCCAGGCTCAGTCGCATAAATGCATAAGCCATGGCACGCATATGCGGCATAGTCCATCCAGCCGATAGGGCTAAGGATGGGCGGGCCTGTGGGCGTATGCCACATTCCACATACAACAGAAAGCAGCCAACATGGCACACACACATACACACACACACACATGACTCCTCAGCTTTGACGGCAGTCACTCCTCAAAAAGCCATTTTAATTAAAAGAACTGCGAACTGCTTTCTGCCCGCTGCTTGCTGCCCGCTGCCCGCTGCACAGCCCCCATCTGCCACGCCCAACTAAATTTTGGCTCGCTGCTGTTTCGATTCGTGCGGCAGTGCAGCTGCTGCCAAAGTTGCCCCAGCGGCCCACAAAGTGTGCAGTTTATTTCTGGTGCACTTAACCGACTAGACGCCTTAGCCAGGCTTACTAGAATTGCTGTTGCTGCTCTAGTTGTTGTTGTTGCTTTAGTTGCCGTTGCTGTTGCTGTTGCTGTTGCTCGAGCTGCTGTTGCTCTTGACATGCCGCAGCTAGAAACTTTTCGGCATTCTGTGGGAGCAAGTGTGTCGGCCCAGCTAACACATCCTGACACAAGTCAAGGAATTTATGAGCTGTAACGGCAACAAATGTTTGCCAGTGTGCGTGTGTGTGTGTGTGTGTGTGACTAGCTTTTGGTTTAATTGAAATTTAAACGCTTAGTTCCAGTGTCAGCTGTTAAGACTTTTTCGTTTGGCATTTTAAGCACTCCGTGAAGCTGACAGCTTGCGATTTTCCATTTCATTCAAGCAATGCAAATTGCAAAATGCGAGCACTCGCCCATGCACACACACACACACACACACACATAGCATATATGGTACACATGCTGGCCTCATGATTACGCCCAACGAAAACCAATAAAAATCACAATGTTTAACCCAATTAAGCCACCGAACAAAGTTGGCTTCATTCTCGGCAACGTTGATGTGTGCTGTCAGGCACGCAAAGGGCTAGCAAAATGCCAAAGAGCTGAAACGCATGAGTTACTGCATGTGTGTGTGTGTGTGTGACTGGGCTGTGGCTTAGGTGTGCTAGTGTGTGTGTATTGGCTAGCCACTAGGCTCAGTGGCTACCTCATCGTCATGACAACTTGGGTGGCCAACACAATAACACGGAGCATGCACCGAGCACACACCCCCATATACACACACACACACTCACACACACACGCACACATTGCTGCAATGGCAGGCAGTTGTGCAATAGATTCCAACAGTGCTTGGCCAGCTCGACGCCAACGTCAACGCCATGTGTAAAAATACTAAAAACATCGCAATTTCTTTAACTTTTATTTTATTAACGAATTTTGTGACAATGTGAACAAAATGCCCGCACAAAGTGCGTTGGTCAGTGGTAAAAATGAAAAAAAAAAAATATTAGAGTCTGCAGCTGAGAGCTGACACTGTGTGTGTGTGTGTGTGTGGAGAGCTGACAAACTCGCCCCAGCTGGAAAAACTCAAACGAACCGCAGAAAAGGAAAAAAAAAAAACAAGAGAGCAGAAAAAAAATGCCTGAACACATAAAAATACGAGCAACTCTTTTTGACGCGAAAATGTCAACAATTTGTGTTATAAATGCAGTCAAAGGTAAACAGCGGATGGCCAGGACGATGTAACCAAACTCTGGAATCCTTTTGGGCAAGCGCTGAATACACACGGGGCAGCAGAGCTGCGCAGGAGTGGAGCATGCCTTTGACAGCAGCCGTTCTAGATGCATTAAATTTTCATTAGTTGCAGCATAATTAGCCAGGCGAATGCCTTTGCCAAACTCGGAGTTAAAGTCAAAGTCAAAGTCAGAGGCAGAGGCAGAGGCAGAGGCAGAGGCAGAGGCAGAGGCAGAGGCAGAGGCTGGCCGCAACAAGGATTTCACGAGCTGTTGCCAATGCTGGAGCGGAGACAAACGATGCAGACAAATAGCAAACAAACTGGACAGACAAAACAGTTTACTTACACCTACACCTGCTGTGTGTATGTGTGTGTG